ATTTCGTTTGTATCAAGATTCCATTCAGTTGAAACAGCTGGTCGACCATCTGCTTGTTTAACTTGATTGTTTTCAACTAGAAAGATTTTAAATTCGGGATGATTATTTTGTAGATGGTATATCATGACGATTATGGAGAAAATATTAAAAAATAATTACGTTTATCAATTATAACAATCTTGTTGGGCTCTGATAGAAATATGTGCATTGCGTTGACACCCGTACTGTTTATTTATTTATTTTATTAAAAAAAAAAAATTTCGCGTTTTAATAAATTAAACACCTTCCTTTTTTTTAAAAGGGGAACAAACGGTTACTTACTTTCCAATGATTTGCCATGTTCCGCCCGCAGCATCTCCAGTTGTGGGAGCTTGTCGTGCTAAATTTGTTAAGGTATGATTATAAAATTAGCGAATTATAGCGCATAAATGAGAAACAGAAGATTTAAGTTTGGATTTGTTAATTAACCTTGCATTGGAAGGGCCAAAACATTGTTAATCGGTAGAAGTAAAGTTCCAATGAAGTATAATAATAGATGACAATTTTTCATATTTATTCTTATCATGAAAGTTTTAAAAACTTATATTTTATTTTTTTATTATTTTTTTTTTAATAGTAAAAACAGAAGAAAAAGAAAATTTTTTATTTCTTTGGAATTATGAAAAATGAAATTTGCGGTACTTTTATACTTGATCACCTAATCATAAGGTAAAAAAACCAACATGAAAAAAAAAAATTTATTAATAAATGACGAATAATTTAATCAAATCTATTTTTGATCGTTTTCAAAAAAAAGTCGGAGTATTTTTGAATTGAGTAAATTTATATTAAAGTAATAACTTCATTGTAAAATGAATTTAACTGAAAAGAATATAATGTGGTGTAACGAAACGAAACAACCGCCAAGGTATTATTTGACTGGATAATTTGAAAAATGCATTTGCATCTAACATGTCTCGGATGAAACTACATCCTTCCTCACTTAGATAGATATTTCCCAAACTTTAATCTGTTGCAGTGGTAAAAGGTTATACTTTTTAAATCGGAATTATATTACTAACTTCTTTTCGCTGCTGCTAAAACGGAGTAAAATTTTTTTTCACAATTTTTTTTATTGATATAATGAATGAAAAAAAAAAAGTTTAATTTGCTATTTCAAGTTAGAAAATTTTTACCCTTATGAGTTGTTCAAAAAAAAATATATATCGTGCGACATTTATTATTCAAACAATTGCCGTTTTTTTCTTATGTCTTTGTTTAGAAATTGGTAATCAATTTATTACAGGTAAAATAAAAATGTTCCTTGAAATAAAAATTTTTTTTTCTAAACACGTACTTTTTATAATTGTCTGAATTAATAAGCAACCTTTTCAAGAAAACTAAAGATCAATCTATATCGGTCAGTTCCCGAATTCCGTGGATGCACCAAATTCAGTCATAAATGTATCTGCATGTTATGCTTCCTACGGAGGAGGTCTTCGACGAGTGTGAAATACCAATTTTGGTACGAAAATCAAAGTTTGGATATAAAAACATAAATAACAGAAGAGTTGAATGGTCTCTTAAAAAAGGGTATATAGTAAACATGTATAGTATGGTTTTGAATGAATGTATGTATAGTTGTATAGTATGGTTTTTTATTTATACACGTATAGAATATTTCTTATGAAAAACCATACATGTATGGTTTTTAGGATATACATATCATACATACTAAAAAAAAAAGAACTACTATACATACATTCAAAACCATATTTGTGTAATACCCCTTAAAAAAAGATATTTATCAACTTTTTAGGAAATACCATACCATACATACAATGATCGCGCGTATTTTTAACCCTGAAACAGATTCGACTTGAATAGTTCCTTTTTTTAAATGTGCATAAAAAACAATGGAAAGTTGAATATACACTTTATTGGTAAAGATCAAATCAGTCCATAACTTTCAAACAATTGATTATTAGATCCCCTTTGTACCTTGTGGCCTGTCATACCATAAATTCTCGTGATACAAATTGCTTAATAAAATTCTTGCCATGTAAGCAACTTACGCAATTTCTTGAAAGGACAGTTGACGTTCTAATCGAATGATTCAACTAGCTCTACGTTAGAGCCCACGGATTTGTGCATTTGCATAATTTCGCATAACTCATTTTGCATTTTTACGTGACCTTATATTGTATTTATCAAGTAAGGAATAGATCATCCGCATATTTTTTTTCACAAAATGTCAATGGTTATGACATCAGAACGATTATCAAAGGATTCAAAATAGCTTGAATTTATATATGGTTAACCTTTTTTAATAATCAATAAATTGAAATTTCATCTTTTACTATATAAAATATTTTTTTTGCATATTTTTGCATAATTTTTAATTTTACATCGCTCGAACCCATGGACTCGACTTTAACCATCCGATAAATGGGGCCTTTGCAATAGAAAGGGGGGAAACTGCCGGAAAAATAAAAAATGAGTTAACGCTAAATTTGAGGTATGCTATTAAAATTGAGGTACGAAACATATGGTCTGTACCTCAATTATAATAGCACACCACCTCTGAAAATATATAAAAGTAAAATTGATTTTCCCCCCCTTTCTATTGTCAAAGGCCCCAAATGGGAGGTGGTCGGTCAGTAGAAAAGGGGGAAATCCAAAATTTTTGTTAATTTTTATTATTAAGCTAAATTTGTGCACATGATTGAGATCAGCCAAGTGGTCCAATAATATAAATTTTGACCAAAATTTAGATTTCCCCCTTTTCTACTAACCACCTCTCACTTAATCACGTGGTTTGAAAATTAATTGTTTGGTCGTACTGCACCTTTTTTCTCGAACCTCATAGGCCCACTTCAAGGTTATAAAAATGAGACTGTTTCATTTGATTGATCAGCAATTGTTTTGTTATGTTGGCAGAATTTAGAGCAAAACGAGAAACTGAAAGGGTTCGAGTTGAAGCAAAATATCAAGTATTAGGGTTTATCAGTTCAGGTACTTATGGAAGGGTTTATAAAGCCAAGGCAAAAAAGACAGTAAAAAGGTTGATTAAGATTAAAGTTTGATCATTTCAACTATTTTTAACTATTTTGAAAAAAATAAATAATTTTTTTTTTAAATAATAATAAAAAAGGGTAAATTGTTTGTTTATTTACTTAATTGATTTATTTTGTAGTGCTGATGGTGAAGAAAAAGAGCTTGTATATGCGATAAAGAAGTTCAAACCAGATAAAGAAGGAGATATTCATACATATACTGGAATTTCGCAGTCTGCATGTCGAGAAATCTCGGTATTTTCAATTAAAGATATTATTATTTTTTAAAAGATCAATTGATTATTTAATAAGAATTTTTTTTCGAAATAATTTAATAATTTAGTTATGTCGAGAACTTCGACATCAGAATATTGTTTCACTACAAGAAGTGTTGCTAGAGGATAATTCAATTCATATGGTGTTTGAATTTGCTGAACATGATTTTCTTGTAAATAAGTGATTAATAATTTCAATCTTGCTTTGGATTTGCTTTTGGTTGATAAAATTAAATTTTAATTAATCATCTAAATAAAACTAGCAAATTATTCACCATCATAGCCAACATGAAAGAAAACCAATTCCCGAATTTACCATAAAATCGTTTTTATGGCAATTACTTAATGGAGTAGCGTATCTCCATGCAAATTGGGTTTTGCATAGGGATTTGAAACCTGCTAATATTTTGGTGACTAATGATGGTGTTGTGAAAATTGGTAAATTTCAAAATTTTTTTTATAATTTTAAAAAAAAAATTCAAAATTCAAATTAATTTTAATTTAGGGGACTTGGGTTTAGCAAGAATTTATGAGCGTCCGTTACAGCCGTTGTTTAATGGTGACAAGGTTGTTGTAACAATATGGTATAGAGCTCCTGAACTCTTGCTGGGGTCAAGACATTACACAAAGGCTATAGGTTAAGATTTAACTTGGAAAATATTTAATTTAATATCCTATGTAGTCAATAGTCATTATTTTTTAATTTATTTTAATCGATAGATATATGGGCTATTGGTTGCATTTTTGCCGAGCTTTTGACGTTGAGACCTATTTTCAAAGGGGAAGAAGCTAAAATGGACAATAAAAAGAATGTTCCATTTCAGAAAAATCAACTGACAAAGATTTTCGAAGTCTTGGGAAAACCAACAAGTTCGTTAAATTTAAATTGATTTGAATTATCTGAATTAATTTGATTGAGGAGGGTAGCTAATCGGAATTTTTATTTTTTTTTTTGTTTAGAGGACCAATGGCCCACCATTGACCAACAGCCGGAATATCATAATTTAAGTGGTTTTCGATCGTAAGTTTAGCAACTTCGAGTGGATGGAATCAATTTTATTCATTTATTTATTTTAAAAACATATATATTTTCAAACTTTTTTAAGATCTCCGAATCGACTTCATGAATTTTATCAAACATGTTCATCAAAGTCGGATGCAGGTTATGAGCTTTTGGCAGCAATGTTAGGATATGATCCAATTATGCGTATCACTGCCGAAGAAGCTTTGCATCACCCATATTTTGAAGAAGAACCGACACCGTCTATGGAGTAAGGATATTTTTTCTTTTAAAAAAAAAAATTGATGCGCATGAAAATTTATTAATAATTTTCAATGTAAAGTTCATTTGAAGGACAACCGTATCAATATCCGTCACGGGCTGTTAAAAGTGAAGATAATAATATGAGAGTACCACCAACAGTACCTTCAGCTGTTCAAGGCCAAGCCGGAGCAACGCATGGAGGAACAAGAGGGAAACATGGACATAATGGAAAAGATGAAGGAAGACCTCCAAAGAGGAGAGGATAAATATTATTATTGTGTATTTAGTTTAACCATAGATAGAATATGTTATTTGTATTTAGTTGTATTTTAATATATTTTTATTGATTTTTTTTAATTACAAATAAGTTTTATAGGACGTGCAAAAAAAAAAGGAGGCCGAGACTATTAATTTCACGCGCATTTATTAATTTGATATTTTCTGTCCATAATAACGATGCGTTTTTGTATAAGTTCTCGTTTCTTCAAAATCTTGTACGCAATCTTGAACGAATTGTTCATATTCTTGTAATGACATGTTTAGAAAATTGCTAAAATTCGACTTGATCGCTTCTGTAGCTTGCATAAAATCATTTAGTCCCTAAGCAAAACAAAGCAAATGTTGTTATTTAAAACTTTTTTTTTCTTAAAAAATAATTTTTAAATTAATATTAAATGACATTATACCATTTTACCCAAAGTACCGCCCCAACTACCTGTTGGACAATATTTATGTTCGTGTATAACCGAAGAAAATTTCTTGGTAGATAGTAAATGGTCGTCTATTTTTTCAGGTATCATTAGATTACCTTGCTTGGATTTTGAAAATTCTATTATGGAATCACTAAATTTTTTTATATTTGGACCTTCGTTTATAAAAATAGGATCCCATTCCATAAATTGAATCCAACCTCCAATTTTACAAACTCTCAAAGCTTCGCGTAAAAGTACATTCTCCCACTGATCTTGCGTGAATGCCGGTACTAAATCCCTAACATGAACAAAATCAAAAGTTTCATCTTCAAAAGGTATACCCTCTAATACATCACATTGAATGAATTCTGAATTTTTTGGTGAACAATCTGTTGGAAATAACTGATGAACATCGATTCCTTTGAATGTTGTGAGTGGATATTCTGAAGCCATTTCAAGGATCCATATTCCACTTCCCGTTCTTATCAAAAATTTAAATTTAAATATATAAATATATATATATATATGTATATGTATTTTTAGTTTAAATACGGGTTTTTTTTTTTAAAAAAAAAAAAGCTTAAATAAATTATTGTAATATTGATTTTAACGAACCCAATGTCAAGAACTTTCATTCCACCTTCTATCAATTGTTGTTTGATTGGAACTGAAAAGTTATTCTGCCAAATCATCCGAAGATAATAATGTTGCGAATGTAATCGATCTATTTCATTGTCATCATGTGGAAAAGGATACACCCCATTATTATCATTATGTTCTTGATTATCTAAATTATTTTCATTCGGACTTTCTCTAGATGATGATGAACGAATTTGTGATTCATTTCTTTTGGCCATTTTATATACATTTCATTTAACTTTTCATAAAATTCTGATATCGATGGATTCTAAAAATATATATTTATATATATATATAAAAATTGCGAATAGATTGTAAGACTGATCGCCACGAAAAAAAAAAAGATGTTGACAAAAGTGGAAATGATTTACTTTTTAGAATCGTTTCCCCCAACGTAATTAACTAAAAATTTCCTTTCCTTGATAAGTTGATAACAGAGATACATTTACCAAAAAAAGTAGATCCGTTATCCGACAATCCGTCCATCATCCGATATATTATTTTTTTAAATAAAAATTATTAATCGCTATTTTTAAAATCTCTGACATTAAAAAATGTCATAAAAAATAAATTTATATCATTAAAAAAAAACTTTTAAAGTATGAGTTTAAAATTAAAAGAATGTAAGAATATGGAAAATCATTTCCATTTCATTGGTCACTATTGACTTTATTATTTTTATTTATTATTTTTATTTTGGGTTTCCAATGATCGAATTTGTATGACAATGGTTAAAAAAAAAAACTTTCAATAAGCACACAACTTCTTGATAAAATATGTCTATCAAAACTAAAGACTTTTTATTAAGAAGAAATAATAAGTAATATCAATCGGACTTTTGAATTGTGCAGTAAACTTGGATTAAAGCTGATGAATGAAATTGACTCGCCAACATATGGTTATTCAGAAAAAACCTCACTAGCATCATTCATGCATGTGTTGTCAATCTCATAAGGATATTGAAGGGGCAATTCCGTGAACAAAAGAATCTTTGGAAAATGGAAATATAACCGATTCAACATCATTAAGGATCGTCCTGATTATATCGGAAATTCCTGTTAAAAGGGAAATTAAAAAAGTGCAAAAGAGAATTCATTTCAAAGTTTGATAAGTTAATTGAATATTGTTATATATGTATGGCGATACAGCCTTTCCCAAGTATCTCGACTTCCATCATTATTTTAGACAATGTAATCTTGCAAGCTACAGTATATATTCCCCTGTTATGATAGAACAATGGGCTTCCCCATTATCCGCACAATTATCCAACTTATGGGAAGTCTCGCAGAAAAAAAGGGGGGGGGATAGACCGAATGATCAAATTTTGAGATTTATCATTACTATTATAAAGAAAGTCATTTATTACATGTTGTTACATAGATTAAGGATAAAGATCCATAAATGATTACGATAATTTTTTTTTTTTGCGATTTTCTCGTAATCACGTGATAGTCGCAGACAATTAACGAGTGACGAATAGCGGAGGTGTGAAAGTGAAATTCTTTGTGAAGATAACCTATATTGCATATTGGAGAAATGCCTTATGACGATTAATAAATAGAAAGAAGCAATTCGTTTTATGCTAATAACCCTTCGTGCTTTACACTTCGAGGAGTGAATGCGAATCGATTTGGAATATGCAGACTTTAAAAACGACATCAAAACCTATCTATGAAAGTAAAGAATTTACTACTAAGAAACGTCCACCATATGTGACGTTCTTTATCACAATAAGTTTAATTGTGTAATTTCCTAGATAATTCTTGCGAGAAATGAAACGCGAAAAGAAATAAGTCTTTAATTATATAAGAATTTCATATATCGCGAGACGTATTATGTGACTTTTTGATTATAATAAAAAAATTAATATCGCCCAATATGAAAATTATATATTGAGAATAAATAAAGTGCTTTAATATTAGCATCATTTTTCTCGGTAAGAAGGATTTTTTTTTTCCTTATAATATATATACATCCTAATTTGCTTTAAAGAAATTGTTTGTTTCAAATAGACATTGGAATTTATTGAATTGATATTTAATAGTCTAATTTGGCATTCCTAGCATCATGATAAGTATGTAATCTTATAACACTACCATGTTAAAATATCACGTGACAACGTATTTTTTTTTTAAAAAAATTTTTTATATTTCCCCTGATTCCTTTAACAAAATCAAATCAAATGACTACAGAAAGAATATAAAACAAGAAAAGATCACTAACCCCTAAAAATTTTACTATTATGTTTTTCAGTTCAACAGATTGTTTTGTTGAATTCTATTTATAAAATCTTTTTTTAATTTTCTTTATAGTAGTAACCTTGTTAAAGGAATTATTTAATTGATCGACATTGGAACAGACCTGTGAATGCGGTTTTAAAAATAAAAATAAATCTCCCGATAAAATTTCCATTGATCAAACGAAACAAAAAATTCTTTAAAATTTATTATTAATCAAACCATAAATAGATCGAAAAACAAATCATTTTACTCCTTAACAAAACAATTTCCTATTTAGAACTATTAGTTTATTACACAATTATATGAACAGAATTATACTTTTGAAACAAACAGTGAGCTAATTAAATTTTGAAACATTAAAGGAGCGCTATGTAATGGTTATTTCACTTTAGTCCACCTTAAGAAAACAAAAGGTTTGTTAATTAAGAACAAACATTTTATTTGTTTGAACAAATATATTCTAAAATATTCTAAATGTATACATGAACTTTTCCAAAAATTACATAGTAAAAAAATCCACCATATTCGCATGTTAAATTGAATTGTGTAGAAAGGAAAAAAACAATGTTGAAAATTAAAATCTAAAAATACAATAATAAATGGATAAAATTTAAATTAATTAATTAATTTATAATGGACGGATTAACATGCAATTCTATTGCTGTTTTAGCGGGAGTCCCCTTGTAGAGAACGAATAAATAATTATGTCTTCCCGGTGGAAACACATTTGAATTTGGTGGCATTGTAATGTCCATTGTAAAACCTGATTCTGACTTTTGTACATTTTCTACCTTTAACGTGACTACTCTAGAAGACATGTGTTGTGAATGTGTGATGAATCCCATGTGCGATAATGAAGCGGTAAATTCCTGATCTGAACTGTCAATGTCAACCGATACTGGGATTTTTTGTCCATAAGTTACTTCAACTGCTTCATCCCCATTGAGATTCTTGGTACCTGAAACTTTTGTGATCGTTGGTCTAGGGTTTCCATTTAATAAATAAGGTGGTGTGAATATTTCGGCTCGATGTTCGGTTGGATATTCACAATCTTTAATACTACAATAATTTCTATTTGGATTACTACCAGCTACGAAGATACTACCATCAGGAATTAAAGTAGCGGATGAATGATAAACCCTTACAAGTGGATCTTCGGCAAGCTTACTCCACCTTGAACCTTTCTTTGCTAAAGGATCATATAAGAGTGGAGCTTTTGTTGGTAAACTCGCCGTATGTTCAAATGGTCTCTTGCCTTTAGCTTTTTTATCCCAACCTGCGAACCCTTGACCGGCTCCATTTACAAATAAAACATTACCATCAGGTAAAAGAATAGCATCAGGCATCACACGACCAGTTGGTTCATTATTACCAAATGATTCTTCGACCCATTGAGGATCATCTACAGATAAATCGATTCTTTCACAAGTATTTTCTGCAGGAGCCTTACTCTTCATTTCGGTACCACCACCACAAATCAGAATTTCAGCCTTATAATAATTTTCATGTCTTAAAGGTAACAAAGCGCCAGAACCGGTAAGTGGATAAGTACGTGGACCACCTGGAATATCAGGTAAATGTTTTACAGTTTCTTTCGTAACGTAATCCCAAATTTGAGCTTTCTTATTTGCGGATAAGAATAATTGATTATGACCTTCTGGTCCAGGTAATACCATCACGATAGGATAAAGATTAAATGGAAAGGAATCCTCCAAAAATTGAATTTTAAGACCTTTTTCATGTTCTTTTGGATAAAATTCAAAGGTTGGATTTTCAATTTCCTTACTGTTGATCGCAGCAGCCTTGATCGAACCGCCAAGATTAAATACACGACCATCAGGTAAGGAAACCATTGTATTATACCACCTCGGAGAATCCAAATTATAAGGAAATTCTAACCAATCACAACTTTTATCGTCACATCCGTCAATCATACGAACCGATTGAAATCCATTTTTTTCTCCATCAGTGTCCTCGGCACCACCGGTTTCCACCATGGTCCCGTTGGCCAAATATGCACCGGCCGAACAAAAAGTATTTGTATGCAGGCTTAGTACACGATAAGTATTCGTACTCAAATCGTACAGTGTCGAATAAGCGTATCTTCCTTTGGACAACAAAGCTTCTGGGTTTATACCGGCTATATGCGGCGAGTTATTTTTAATATAGTTAGTATATATTATGGTATGTATATAAAACGTAGATCATGTCGTATTAGTTAAACAAGCAATTACCTTTATCGATTATTAAAACTTTTGTTGGCCGAATGAGGGTCATGTGCATTGCAGATACTCCGGTTCTATTAATTTGATTTGTTAGAAATGTATTACTAAATTTGGGTCATTGATAAATTTGATAAAAATTAAAATTTTTTAACACTCACTTTCCAACAAATTTCCATTTGCCACTCGAAATGTGTGTTTCATTTCTTGTAGATAATCGAGGAACAGCCTCGATAGTAATAGCAATGGAGGCGAATAGAAAAAGGTTTAGGATAGATAATAATAATTTCATAATTATTTAATATAATATAATGATTATCTTAAATTCTTTATAGATTTGATAAATGCATATAATATATGATTTTTTTTTTTTTGGTTTTATTTTTTTGTTGCAAATAAATATAATATGTTCGTTTAAGGGATAAAAAAGAAAACAAAAAAGTCTTTTTTTTAATTGTATTTTGTCGATACTTTTTCTTTGACACTGCACGTTCGTGATACGTTGGGATCGTAAAGATAACTTTTTCTACAAAAGATTTCTTTTATTTTTTACTTTTTTTTTGTGAGAAAAGTTCGAAACTAATCGACGGTTACTCGTTGAGGGTATTTATACATTTTGAAATTATGTGGTTATATTAAATATAAATAATAAAGAAATTTTTAGGAATAATCGTTGGTAATTTATTTTACATAACTAAATTTAGAAATACCAGTTCGTAGGTTACATCATTAATTGAAACAAAAAATAATTAGCAT